AATGTTATTTAAGGGCACTCATAGGAATAGTTAGATAGGGGCTCTCAAAGGAATAGTAAGGGTCTCTCACAGGAATAGTTAGATAGGTTTATTTTAAAATAAATAAGATTTTCTTTACGACGGGGCTCCCACAGGAATAATTAGATAGGGGCTTCTACAGCAAATGTAAGTAAGAGGCTCTCACAAGAATAGTTAGATAGGAGTTCTCACAGGAATAGTTAAATAGGGGCTCTCATAGAAATAGGTAGATAGGGGCTCTCACAGGAATAGTTAGAAAGGGGCACTCACAGGATTAGTAAGATAGGGTCTCTCACAGGAATAGTTAGACGGAGGCTCACACAAGAATAGTTAGATAGGGGCTCTCACAAGAATATTAAGATAGAGGCTCTCACTAGAATAGTTAGAAAGGGGCTTTCACAGAAATAGTTAGATAGGTGCTTTCACAAGAATAGTTAGAAAGGGGCTCCTAAAGGATTCGTTCGATAGGGACTCTCACAGGAATAGATGGATAGTGTCTCTCACAGGAACAATTAAATTTGGGATCTCACTAGTACAATTGGATAGGGGCTCTCACAGGAATAGTGAGATATGGGCTCTCGTAGGAATAATTAGATAGTGGCTCTCATTGGAAAAGTTATATAAGGTCTCCTACAGGAAAAGTTAGAAAGAGGCTCTCACAGGAATAGTTAGATAGGGGCTCCCACAGGATAGATGGATAGAGCCTCTCAAAAGAATAGTTATGTAGGGGCTCTCACAGGAATAGTAAGATAGGGGCTCTCGCAGGAATAGTTAGATAGAGAGTCTTACAAGACTAGTTAGAAAGGGGCTCTCATAAGAATAGTTAGAAAGAGGCTCTCACAAGAATAGTTGGATAGGGACTCTTACAGAAATAGTTAGAAAGAGGTTCTCACAAGAAATAATGTAGATAGGGCAATCACAGGAATAGTTAGATAGAGGCTCTCAAAGGAATAATTAGATAGGGGCTCTCACAAAAATAATTAGATATGGGCTCTCACTAGAATAGTTAGAAAGAGGGTCTCAAAGGAATAGTTAGAAAGGGGCTCTCACAGGAATAATTAAATAATTAGATAGGGGCTACCACAAGAATAGTTAGGTAGGTGATCTCACAGGAATAATTAGATAGGGGCTGTAACAAGAATAGTTACATGGGGGTTCCCACAAGAATAGTTAGATAGGTGCTCTCAAAGAAATAGTTAGAAAGAGGTTCTCGCAGGAATAGTAAGATAGGGACCACAGGAATTGTTAGGTAGGAGCTCTCACAAGAATAGTTATATAGGGACTCCCACAACAATAGTTAAATAGGAGAGCTCACAGGAATAGTTTCATGGGGGTTCCTACAGAAATAGCTAGATAGGGGTTCTCACAGGAAGAGTTAGAAAGGAGCTCCAACAGGAATAGTTAGTTAGGGTCTCCCACAAGACTAGTTATATCGGGGCTCTCAAAAGAATATTTAGATAAAGGCTCTCCCAGGAATAGTTAGATAGGGGGTCTCAAATAAAAAGTTTGATAGGAGCTCTCACAAGAATAGTTAGATAGGGGGTCCCACAAAAATAATTAGATAGGGGCTCTAATAGGAATAGTAAGTTAGGGGCTCCCACAAGATAAGTTAGATAAGGGCACTCACAGGAATAGTTAGTTAGGGGCTCCCACAAGAATAGTCAGATAGGGGCTCTCACAGGAATAGTTGGAGAGGGGTCTCAAAGGAATAGTTAGATAGGGGCTCTCACAAAAATAGTTAGATAGGGGCCCTAACAGGAATAGTTAGTTAGGGGCTCCCACAAGAAAAGTTAGATAGAGGCGCTCACAAGGAATAGTTAGTTAGGGGCTCCCACAACAAAAGTTAGATAGGGGCGCTCACAGGAATAGTTAGATAGGGGTCTCACAGAAATAATCAGATAGGGGCTCTCAAAGGAATAGTAATATATGGACTTCCACAAGAATAGTTAGATAGGGACTCCCACAGGAATAGTAAGATACGGACTACCACAGGAATACTAAGATAAGAGCTCTCACAGGAATAGTTAGAAATAGGCTCTCATAGGAATAATTATATAGGGGATTTCTTAGGAAAAGTTAGATAAGGGCTCTCACAGGAATAGCTAGATAGGGGCTCTCACAGGAATAGTAAGATAGTGACTCTCACAGGAATAGTTTGATAGTGACTCTCACAGGAATAGTAAGATAGTGACTCTCACAGGAATAGTTTGATAGGGACTCCCACAGGAATAGTAAGATACGGACTACCACAGGAATACTAAGATAAGAGCTCTCACAGGAATAGTTAGAAAGAGGCTCTCATAGGAATAGTTTGATCGGGGTTCTCACAAGAAAAGTTTGATAGGAGCTCTCAAAGAAATAGTTAGAAAGGGATTCTCACAGGAATATTTTGATAGGGGCTCTCACAGGAATAGTTAGATAGTGGCTCTCAGAGGAATAGTTAAGGTTTCTCGCAGGAATAGTTAGTTTTCTTAAAATTTGTTTGCTTAAGTTCTTACACTTCTCAACACAGACCGGAAAACATAGCGAAATAACTATCTTAAATTCTGAAGCTAAGGAATAACTAATTTTTTGGCTTCATGGTGATCATGCAATTGGCTTTCGTGATAGTTAATACATACATGCCTTCGACGTTTATGCAAATTACCACGCAAGTCAATTGCTTGATAACATTATGAAATCAAAAAATTCAGAGTTATTCCTTGATCAATTTGGTAAATTCACGTCCTCCAAGCCCCGCCTACCTCTCTCTCCCCGCAAGTGAATTTTTTAAAATGTCTATCGATGAACTAGTATCTTTATGTAGAAATCAAGTAATTTTATTTCTTGTAGTTTTATCTCGTACAAATAAATTTAAAAATGTAAATATTTCATGCATTTGTTGCATTATCAGTAGTTTGAAAAGAACTGTAAAATTTATCCGAGCACAAAGAGGTCCAAATTATACCGCTCATCTCAGAAGCTGACTTCCAATTTTTTGTGTGTCAAAAACAGAAGTTTACGGAAGCCCGTTGAGGCCAGTTCAGAGAAAGAAATATTTTTTATTGCGTTTAAACGCAAAACATTGCGTTTAATCGCAATAATCATTGCATCTAAACGCAAAAGATTGCGTTTAATCGCAATGTATATTGCGTTTAAATGCAAAACACTTTGCGTTTAATCGCAAAAGATTGCGATTAAACGCAATACTTTTTTCGATTAAACGCAATACTTTTTGCGTTTAAACGCAATAATATTGCGATTAAACGCAATACTTTTGCGTTTAAACGCAATACTTTTGCGTTTAAACGCAATAATCTTTTAGTTCAAAGACAATAATCTTTGTGTTTAAAGGCAGTCATTTGTATCAAACCTTGCAGAGTACAGTGGACCCACGCATACTTATATCTATTATTTCTTTCTCTTTTTACTTATGAGGAAATTGCGTATTGTTAAGCTTTATAGAATCAGGATCCCCCGAGCAAACGCTCTCTTAAAGGATAAATCACTAATAAGAATTTATAGAGGAGAAAAAAATGTCGGGTTGTAAAAACAAAGGCAACCTAAGAACGAAACATGTCTTTAGCTTATTATTCTCTACATTCTTAATGAAGTTTTGGTCAGTTGCTCTGTTAAAAAAAAACTGTCCCCTACGTTGCGGTCACAAGTTTAACCCATGTATAAAGGGATTTTTGGAAAGGACAGAGGAAATGTTGGAGTTACGTACAACATAATGAAGTATTTAGACTTTAAGGTCAAGATCTAGTAAATGAAAGGAGCCTACAATTTTTTCAAATTTGAGAACTGAATTCCTTTCATGATGCTTTATAACTATAGCTTGGTCAAATAAGGTGTATCGGGGTATAATTTGTAGGTAAACAAGACGAAAACTCATATTTTAAACTGTCATTTTCAATGAAAAATTAAGAAAGTCAGTCATGAATATGGGAGTTTTTGTCATATCAGACAAATGAAATGTATCCAGATTGCCTACAGTCTCTCAGAAAACAGTAATTTGTATGTCCTTAGCCTCTTCTTTGAAATAATGTAAAATTGAATATAGGAACCGGGATTACTTTTTATACGATTTCAAATTGAACGCCATGAAAATACTTTATCTTCTACATAAGTCTGTTAGAGTCGCAAATTACGGGAAAAAGAAAGTTGGAATTGATTATGACGTCATAATGGATCTAGCACCAAAAAGACATTCTAAAGTCATTTACTAGATCTTGATTTTAATGTACATTCTTAACCCTTCCTATGGTTGCATACAGTAAACACAAGAATATATGTGATGGATTTATGTGAAATCAAAATCAAATGAAAACAGATTGATCGATGTACACTACATGTATCAAATTGACAAGTGCTATTAATACCACTGAAACATTCTCTATAAGTTGTGATAAACGTAAGCAATTGGTCAGAGACTTCATTAAGAGTTTTGGGTTCTAATACATTAAAGACATTCAGGTTGTTCGGATGCCATTGTTTTACTACAATTTTCAAAAACTGGAAAATTTTGCAAAAAGACACAGAACAAATCTGATCTTCTTAAAGTTGAAGTGTCGGATCCTAGTACATGTACATGTAATTATAAGCTTTTACTAATTCATGTTTGATTTTGAAACTACAGTATCATTGTGTTTAAATGCAAAACAAATCCTTATAAGGAAGGATTATTGCGTTTAAACGCAAAGATTATTGCGTTTAATCGCAAAAATTATTGCGTTTAATCGCAAAAGTATTGCGTTTAAACGCAAAAGATTGCGTTAAATCGCAATCTCTTGCGTTTAAACGCAATAAAAAATATTTCTTTCTCTGAACTGGCCTCAACGGGCTTCCGTAGAAGTTTAATATTTTACAAAAAAGATCTTCGATACAATCACACCAAAAGATGATCACAAGATTGGCCTGTGCATTTTTTCCTGCCATTGTTTTTCCTTCTAATATTCTTTAGACACGCCCATTAGGATCTATTTTATGAAGTGAAACATAACTCAAAGCTTTTTAATGTTTTATTACGTGGTTTGTAGAGCAATTTACAGTGATCCTTTTCGTTTTGTACACATTAAATTTCGTTGAAATGATACAATGAATTCAGGTGTAATTGTTATGGTATTATATTTACAACTGAATAACAGAATCCCTTGAACTTGAAACAAGAATTACATGACCTCTTTTATTCAAGTTATTAAAAAAAACCAAACAAATATTTTGGGGTATTTTTTTTCTCCAAGGGATTTTGTTCAAATTATCTGTTCATTTACATCGAACTTGCTACACTTGTTTTGTAGAAACAAGAGCAACATAGTACTTTCTCAAACTTAAATACAAAAACCTAGCATTACAATGTACCATAAATAATAAAAGAAATGGAATAAGAAAGTATCTTAACCCAAAATTCTAAAATAGCAAGAGCTACTTGTCAATCTTGAGATTATTAAAAAATATTGGACAAGGACAGGCTAGTTAGGTACACACAGAGCTGCCTAATGACCACGTCTTTCTATATATCCTATTGCACCAACATCCTTCCCAAGACAAAGGACAAACATGCTTTACTTCACAAGTATAAACGACAAGGTTTCATTTCTAAGAGAAATTCAAGTCCAAAAAAAGTTTTCTCTGGGGGATAAAAATAGAAATTCCAATAAATGAGTCAAAACAATTAGAGAACTTGTACACATTGTTTGTCCAGTGTCTTGGAATAACATATCAATCAAAACTACATAACATGACCACTGAGGAGGTCACCAAGATAAAAACATTGTTAGAAAGTAAGCAACAAACAGCTCAACAGGAGAAAGAACTCTCAACGACATTAATGTTTCATCATACTCATCCCCCCCCCCCTTTTTCAAAAATTCATATTAGCTACATTTTGCCTCTTGATCTTAAATTAAAGTGCATAATTGTGTACAAAGTTGAGATTTCTTTGCTTTGTGTGACAAAACCTTCCCCGTCTGTCATGGTAGATCAGTCAAAAGGTACAAAATACCCTCTGACAGGATCCATAGTCAAAAGATAATCACAAATAAAAAGCGCTTAAACATATCTAGATTTAAAAAAAATAAGACAGAAGAATGTTCCCAAACATGTGTCAATGCACTAGTACCTTCTGGAATGTCAAACCTCATCACAACATAAATAACAATATATGTTATACATACAAGCGATTCACATCGTTGTCGACACGTACTACATGACACCCTTAACAGCATATACAATAACTGTCAAAATGATCAAGTTACAATCAGAGTAAATAAACTTCTTTTTTCCATAGAAAGTAAAATATTCTAAAAACAGACGAAGAGGTAGAATCATACGAATCATAAGAGTGGAAAGAAAATTTCATTAACTTTCAGGTTGTTGCAACTTCCGAGTTGGACAAAACAAAGATTTTAATGTTGAAGGAGTACATTACTACATTGCGTGGATCGAATTTTAGAACTTTTCGTCACAGTTTTTGAAACGAATTCAACTATGTTAGTGGTGACATTCGAGCAGACGCGACGTTCCATGAACACATTCATTAAAACGATACATATCCTATTCACCCAGCCCCCTTTTATCAATAGTACGCAACCAACCTCCTAAAATGCTGAAACGGCAAAAGCATTCTAATGTACGTACTTTCAATTTGCAATTTTGAATAAATTTCAATGGCAATTACTACAACCCTTGAAAATTGTTTTCAGTAGATGTTTCGAAGAGGATGGACTCTTCGTATCTGAACAGTATTACACCCATCTGATAAGTCTATCGACCCGGCTACACACACCAAATCTATACAGGTATGAACGAACTCATTAAAGAATGGGGAAAAAAAGCTAGAATAGGAAAAGAATTAATTGGAGCACTGAATTTAAATGTCATATTTTAAACTACGTATTTTTGAATTCTGTCTATGGAGGCATTTTCCAGATAAGTCCACAAAATCTTGAATACTTAGCTACGAGGAAATATCTCATCAAAATAATTATATCTGTTTGTTTTACATATTTCCAACAACTGTCAGGATGATAAATGCGTCACAGTTTTATGCATGCATAATAACAGGGGCCCCCATTGATAAGAAAAATCATCTAGGACTTCCTTGTTTCTGGACAAAGACACCTGTAAGTGAGTTTTATCAGTTCTACCTGCTCAGACCTGTGTAGCAGAATTAAATCAAGAGCTTACATGTCTATTCATTAAATTCCTAAATAGATCACGGACACATCGTATTATCACGCGATGGGAAGGTTAGGGTTAGTCTGCATGACTGGTCGCATACTTGGACAATCCTCCCAAACCCCACTAATAAAAGACAAAAATGTTTAAGACCACACTGATAGCTTGCTAACGCCCACTTCATCAACATTTCACTTATATAAACCTTTTAAAATTATTTCGTAATAGTCCACTAGCATAAAGCTAACTTAAGACTTAGTTCTAAACAATTACAGATCCACCCAATGTTGTACATTAGTATATGCATGACTTCACAAATCATTTTGAACAGTGTACACCTTTAGCACTACTTAATGGGAAAAAACATACTGCTATACATGTAAATGAACTTATGCAAAACAAAAACAAATCAATAAATTTATTTACAGAAATGGACGGCAATCAACAAGATGGTTGTAAAATTAACAAATTTTGATAACTTTACAAGTCATCCTCAAACTCATTCATAACAAAGAAGTGAAGATAAAATAGAGGAATCCAAACAAATAAAAACCTCTGGATCAACTCAATAGATAAGCTTTCTTTGAGAATAAACATCATTTACTCTTTGTTGAAATATTCATTAGTGAAATTTCAAATGCTCAGTGAAAACTGTGACATTTTAGGATTTTTAAGGGTTAAGTTAGTCATCATTGAATTGTTAAATAAGACAATCAGTTCATTATAAATTCCAAAAAGTACATTTTAATATTCACATAAAATACTCATTTGGTAAAAGAATCTTATCACCCAATCTAATTAAACTAATTATAATATTCTGAAGAAATGCCAAATTAAATCCCATTTTATGAGCTTTAAAACACCTTTGTTAGTATTCCGATAAATTAAAGACAACATAACTATTGAAGAGATCCAAAGGAAGATTAATATAAACATTTAAGACTATCATGCTCGAATGAACTCTGATAATGAACATCAATATACTGTATAATATATTATGTACAAAAGAAATACATAGATCTCTTTATAGCACTTCAACAATATTCAGACTACTGTGATTACACCTTAAATGACTATTTAACTTCCATAATTAGTCACTTTCCAAAAATAATCCTTTTGGAATTTAGCTAAAAATAAAAACTGGTCAACCTTTCCCCTACTTTCTGTTTGTGTTTCAATTCTCAATCAAAAAGTAGGTCTCATCCCAATAGTAGCATATCATCACAACTGATTTTCCACTTGAAAGATTATTTAAAAAACAAACATTTTGACCCCCTTCTAAAAAAAAAAACATAATTACCTGTTTAAGGTTTGTCATTACTTTCATAATGCCAGAATGTGCAATAAATTTGTATTTATTTTATGTAATGTGAAGGGCATTTAATTGTCTGTGAGAAAGTCTGACTTGATCATATATTTCCCCAGCATGTGACCATAGATGAAAATGTGTATACAAATCTACCTTACCCTGCATGACCTAATTAAATGTGATTAACTTGGATGATTCTGAAACTATATATACCCTCAATTTCACTACATTCTGAATACATTAATATTTGGCACATATTATCTTACATGATTTTGAAATGCTTTTACATTTTGTTAAATTTGAATTGCTTTTTATTTTGGATGTTTCCAATGTATTTAATTTGAATGAAAAAAAAAATCTAAAGTGAGCAAGTTGGCTTTAAGTAGTTCACCTGTGTCTAGAATACTCTCCATTAATGTAAATTTCAAACGTGTCAGAAATTCCTGCATAATTGTCAGATCATCCAAGTGGAACCATTTCATTCACATGTTGAACTTTTCAAGTACATAAATTTAAAGATACATAAATTTCTTTTAGATCCATTATTGTACACAACATTTCTTGTGCTTTGTAAAACAGCATGGAATGATTACAGATAAATGTGGATGAATAAAATACATTAACAATCTTTCTCAAGACAGAATAGAAAATTATTCCAGTTCATGTCCAAACATTAAACCCCAATTTTTAAGCTGTTCATGAAATTAAAGACTTGAATGAAAGTTTTGAAATGGGAGCATGTAATCTTTCAAAAATAGAAGTTAATACATAATTTCAAACACTTACAGTGTGATAAGATAAATGTCTGAACAATAAATAAACATGATGCTGCTGACATAACCCAGTAATTAAGACGGATTTCTAAAAGTCTCCCATGTTCAAAAGAGGAAAAAAAAACAAGGCTCATAATACAAAGAAGATTCAGCACAACATAAAAGTCGGGTAAAATTGAAGACACAACCATATTTAGATAAGTATACATTGTATATGTATGTAATTTCAGCAAAATAAGTTGTTAACAAATGATATGATTATGTCAATGGAGATACTATGACGTGACTGGAAAGAAGCACCATATTTTGTTATTGACAAATGTCAAACCGTCAAGAAAAGACCATCAAAACTAGTATTTTGATATTGGTTCCAATGTATATATACATGTATTACATACATACAGACAACAATGTATATTTCTTGCACCAGAATTTATCTGGTATATAGAGTATGTAACTGAACACAATATGTGTATCTGTCCACTGCAGCATTCGTCTTGTCTATCTTGAACTATCCCACAGACATAACTCGAGCAAAAGAATGTTTCTTGCCCCTCCTGTAGTTTTATGTGATGTGTGATGTTTTAAAATTTTTCATTGTTTTTGGCAATATTGTTTCATAAAACTGCATTGATGGAGTCCAAAAATGAGGGCATGTAAGTTTGTGCAGCACATTCCGTACTCTGTGGATCAATTCCACTATGCCTGTGATGGCTCTGACTTCACAATGATCGAATCTCTGTGACCAAAGTGAGGCGGGGTCAGAAACATGGGAGGGGTCAAAACTTTGATTCTGTTGACTTCAGCGAATCGTTGCAGAGCATCATATTTGTTTTTCAAGGAAGTAAGTTCCATCTTGACCACATCATTTTCTCTCTGTAATCTATGCACCTCTGCTCTGAGTCGTTCTTTCTCAGTTTCCAACTCTTCCTTCTGGCTCATGCGCTTTTCTCTGCAGTTGGCAGCATAACCCCGATTTTTCAATGTGCGACGACGCTGTTTCAGCTTGATGGTTTCATCTCTTGGCAATCCTTTCAACAATTTGTTCAGTTCTTTCACTGTCATAGCAACAAGTTCATCGTCTGATATCTGGGCTGACATCCTCATGGCCCGCGCCTCTGACTTGCATTGTGATAAGAAAATCTGAAATAAATTATATTTATTTAATCAACAAATTCATAAAAAAAGAAGCAATGTTGCATATTATTATGTAAAGGTCATAATACAAGTAACTTCTGTGTCGAAGCCTTTTTTTTTTTTTTTTTTTAATTTCACTAAAAATCTTTCATGGCTGTTGGATACTGTACTTAATGACCTCTGCTGGTTTCTTTGTGATGACAAACAATCAGATGCTGCAACTGTACTAGTGAGTCATATCAACATGGGAAAAGCTTAGTCAATTACTCAGACACCTGTTACATCATGTTACTAGAATCAATGCATCAGCAATAAACCTTTTTAAACCCTTAATAAACAACTAGTTTTTAAAGATTTGTGTCATTCATATAAAAATAGAAACATACAAGCATTTTATACTTCCTAGAAAACAAAAAGTGCACTTCTCTAGGTAAACATTGCAAAGTTGGCATGTTTCCAAGAAATCGCAAGATACATTTTATTGATTTGAAAAAAAAAAGATTTCCGACCACAACTTACGAGACTTGTTATCTAGAAAGTATGGAAATGAACTACTTGTTGTACCTAACCCTCTTAATTATGTTGTCTATAATCTATTATGTGATTACAGGTTGAATAAGAATTGTGATAATCAGATAGGCCTATAGGGGACTGCTATGGGGTGCTTTTTGTTTATGATTTAATGTTTACGTTTCTCCATTTTTTGGGGAAAAATATCGTTATTCCAACCCTTCTTTGTTTTGTCAATAAATCGTAAATTCCAAATACTGTTTTTCTAGAAAATGGCCTCGGCCTTGTGGTCTGCGCAATTCGCGTTACACAAGCACTAAGATTTATAAATAGTCCAAGGTGTAATCTAGGACAACGCATCTGTATTTTCCACAATATTAACATACTGTCATTTATCTTTCGGAGTCTCGTGACGTAAACAATATACGTTCGTGACTTTCAATACTGTGTAGAATTCTTAAAATTTGACATTTCAAGTTCAGCAATGTGTCCTCTTTTATTCTAATGAAATGGTAAATAAACACGCCTTGTGCATCATCAGCATAAATTCCAATGCTCGGGTCTGAGCAGAGTACAAATGGAGGTCAATGATTTTCATTCATGCGCAGTTTCTATTTAGCGTTTTAAAACACTATTAATGTGGGTATCTAGGTTTAGAAATGCCATGACTCAAAGATGTTGTGTCCCAGGGATACAGGTTGCTATTGTACACATCAAGTTTTGTGTATTCGATGTGTATTTTCTCACTGCGCAGAAAGAGCTGACAACAAAACAAAGATCACGTGGTCATGAATGTACAATGAACGCAATAATCCTCATATCAGCATATTTCACAATTTCTTAAAAATTGGTCCTTAGAACACAAAAAAATTATCAAAATGGGTGTTGAATCTTATTTCGGTTAAGAGATCATAATAAAACAGTATAATATAGTCCTCATTGATCATTCCGCGCGTTTCATGAATTGTCTACAAAAACGTAAACAATGCACCACGCCATCATTCTACTACGATTTACACACGGTGACCGATATTTCACTTACCTTTTTACTCATTGTGACTGTTTCCCTCTATCAATATTGAATATTCTGTATCCTTTACTTTCCTAGAAAACCAGTATAGTTCCAGAATCACAAAACAATTACTTTGAAGACAATTAATCCACTATTTGTTTCCACGACTGATTTCATCAACTCGGCAATACTCGGATTGTTGCGTATTTTGCGCCTCGCGTCTTCCCGCTGATTGGTCGATTCAGTCACCGTTACTTGATGACTCAGCGAGGACGAACTAGCCCCGCCATTTTAGATGATTCAGCACTTCGATTTCACAACAATAAGGACTTTACATTCTTTAGACCATGGATACACGTTAAACAGAATATTTTATGAATCAATAAATTGATTACTGTTTAATGATTTACAGATATCGCGCAGCAGCTATTCTTACACAATATGTTTTGTCAACAAGAAAAGTGCCTTGTTGTTGCATGGGGCACCTGCCAATCAATTTATTCATTCGGAACTTTTCTTACTTTTTGTTAAAATGTCATCTTTAATCCAGAGACTACCACAAATATTTTGACTGAAACCGAGGTTTTCAATGAATTTGTCATATTTTATGCTGATAAGACACTTTTACCACTGAACTGAGTGACCTCTTTTTCTCTCTCACCGTCTCTCTATCTAGATTGTTTGATGCACCTTATAATATTTTGAGAAAAAAAAGAAATGAAAAAGAAACTTCTCATTATATATATATATATATATATATATATATATATATATATATATATATATATATATATATATATATATATATATATATATATATATATATATAAAGGAAATCAGTTCATTGTCCGGTGATAAAATGTGATACAACATATATATAACGTTAGTCTGATTATATTCTTGGTACCAGAGTACTTTAAAATTTAATTATCAGCCCTCGGTCAGGCTTTTCCTAAGAATTATAAATTTGCTATCAATACTGTACATGTAATATAGCTCACTTAAACAATAAAATATATATTGGTCATCAAATTTTCAGTAACTAGTAATACTATAGAAAACTTCTATTAACAAAAATATAAAAATTTCCGGGTCGATGGACCTCTATATTCTCCGCCATAAATTTCGTTAATTTCGTAATTTTATTATTGCGACATCACAAGTATCATTTTGCCTTCATCATTATCCTGTATATCCGTCTATAGCCTAAACCTATAGGAAGTATACGATATAGGTTGTACTGCAGTATAGCTGTCGCATATACATATGGAGAAATTACACGTGTACACTTTGTTCATGAATAAATGTTCAGGTGACCATTGCTAATTAAATTCATTATTTTTGTAATTTTTTTTTTTTTCATAATCGCAAGTAGATGCTGTCATAAGACAGTAATTAATACTCGCATGTAATTAAGTGTTTGCCTTCCTATGTATCGAAGAAACCATATTATCTACACAAAATACACGGACCTGCGACAGCAATGTGGCCCATGCATGGCCCCTTTTGTATTTTATATTTATTACCGGTCTGAAATTTAATATTTTGAGCAAAGAAATTCTGTTTAAGAAAGATTTTTTTTTGGAATTTTTTTTTCTGCACCCCCCCCCCCCCCCGCCGAATTGGAAATTGATGATTTTGTAATCAAAACAGCAAATAAAATGGTATTTTGATGAAATTAAAAATTGTGAATATACTAAATGTTGAAATTGGCTTGACTCAATACTTTTTAAAAACGTTTGAACACAACAGTGGTAAATATGAACACAACAATGGTAAAAACTAGAAATATGTCCATGGGACATGAATGCCCCTCCCACAGTACATTTGACTACATTATAAAAAGAAATGTACCATCCTTTTTTGGTCAGAGCAAAATTGATAAAAGTAGAATTTTTTTTAATTACATAACTTAGGTAACTGCAAAATACGGGAACGGTGAAGTCAAGGTTATTGGAAAATTAATGGTAAGAAAATAATGACACTGTAGAATTGCTCTAACCGATACCATCTTAGTATTGAGGACTTATTAAAAAATCTTCAAAAAGGAAGGAGAGTCACAAGAAAGGTAAAAAAAATTATGACAGTTAGATTGCTCTTACCAATATGTAACTTTCTATTAAGTTTGATTAAAATATCTTGAAAAGTGAAATTAGTCATTGGGAAGGTGAAGATCAGAAAATTATGATTCAGTTGAGTAATTTAAACCAATGAATTTGTAATAGTATGAAGTTTCATGAAAATATTATGAAAAATTTCTTCTTAACTGTCCCAAATGCAAAACAATAATGACATTAAGGTCATATGGAAGGTAAAGGTCAGAAAATTTTGACACAGTTGAATAGCTCTTAATAGCTATCAATTCATATCTAAAAATATCATGAACCATTTCTTTGAAACCATGTTATATGCAAAGTTATGAAAAAAAGGGTCTCGTCTTACAAAATGTCAAGGTCAGAAAACTTTTACACAGTTGAGTTTAGCGAGTTATGATAATTACATCTTCAATAGTTGCTTTAAAATTGAGCTTTACAAAAATAGAGAATAGTGAGGTAAAGGATATAATGTAGACCAAGGTCAAAAAAATAATGATACAGTTGAAAAGTTCTCACAAATATGTTTTTATAAAATATCTTGGATACTATGAAACTGAACTAATATGAAAAGAGGGATAATGAGGTCAAGGTCATAAGGAAGGTGAAAGTCAAGGAAAATGTGCCACTGTTGAATGGCACTCACCAATATGTTTTAGCAAATGAAATTTTGGTTAACATATCTTGAACAGTTTCTTTGAAACTGTGCTAAATGCAAAGCGTGACAGAAGGACAGACTGACTGTGGGACATTACAAACACTACATGCCCTGGCCATATTCATGGAGGGGCATAAAAAATACATTGTTAATAATTTTTCAGTACCTTTTGAAACCTTCTACATGGATTTGAACTGCAAGCATCTCCAGTTTGAACATTTGTACAGATATTAATCATATAAGAATCATATTCTACTGCTTTTGAATATTTTTTGTAATAAAAAAAAAAAAACAAAACAAAAAACAAGGCCATTCATTAAACATGTAAAGGAGATCAAAGAAAAATATACAACATAAATACCAGTACCATAATTTGATGATTGTATGGTTTGAACATGGGTATATTATTTTACAGTTATAGAGAAGAAAGTAAAACATCTTCCACATTTATAATCATACAAAAAATCATGACCCTTTCAGATACAGGGTCCTAAAGACTTTTAATTGGGAATTTTAAATTGAAAAATTAGCAAAACAGGAATATAATGGTTTTTTTTTTTAAATTAACTGTTAAATAAATAAAGTTAGATTGTATGCTTATTGTTGATTCACATCTTTATGAGATATCGTAGTAAATGAATGAAAAATTCAATCTGTCATTTGGGAATTTTTAATTAATTTTTTGGAGAAAAAAATGGGTCAATTTTCAACATTGCTTCAGTATTTCAAAGTACCAACAGAAGAATTAAAAAAATTAAAATTGGTTTTAGATTATAACAAGCAATTACTAGTAATTAAGATATTGAAACAATACTTAAGAAAAAGAAACCTTGATACTAGTTTTCAAAACACCTCTTACCAATCATATCTAAAAGAGGAAACAATCAAGTATTTATTTTAGTCGAACAGGGCTCAAGATCTTTTTTTTTTAAAATAACCTTTAGTCCTTCTATTTCGATACTACAAAAATGAATGTATACAGTCTCTGTGTCAATTCCTTCATTTTGGAACCATCATTTCTAATGGACCAGCTTCATTATATATCACACACATGCTCTTCTACATTAAACCAAAATCGTTCTTGACTGTAGAATGTGCAAGCATACGGAATTTTACACTCATCCAATCGTTCTTCTGGATCATGCAGCTGAATGAAATCCCACAAGGCTTTTGGAGTGGAACTTCGGTAATCCAGATTCTTCTCAATGATAACTTCAGCTGCCAGACATTGGAGCGTTTGATTTGCTGCAGTATTAACTTTAACTCCACAATCAATCATATCATTAAGCCCTGACCAACCAAGCTTATTTCTGATGTCCAAGTGAGCACCATGCTTTACCATCAAGTCCACTATTTCCTGAACGAGATGTAGGTTATCACAATGTACAATTGTAGCCAGTTCATGTACAGGCGAGCAGAGGTAATTATCTGTGGCATTTACATCTTCTCCGTTTTCTATCAGTATCTTCACTAGTTCTGCCTGGTTATCTTCATCCCCATGATAATCTTGAGTGGTGTCCATGCATTCTATGGCAATGTGGAGAAAAGTTACTTGTTTTTCATCCCTGAACTTTGTTTTCAGAAGCTTAAGAGGCCGTGTCAGTAACCATTGAGTATTGTATATAAAATGAGTGGAATGTGAAAAAAATTATTTTGCTTTAATATTTGGGTGCATGGAGCATAGATGAATGTCCTTTCAAACATGAGTTATTTGGGTCACATGTTTCTTGTTACCATAGCAACGGCGATTTAAATGCTTGAAAAGTGGGAAATTTGATTATTGATAACCCTGTCAAAATTAATTACAGAATTAAACTATGTTTTTCTTAATTTCAATATATAAGGCAGATTTAATTTTTCCCATATTTATTTTAAAGCATTGGGGCCTACTTTGCTTTGTTTCTACCAAATGCTGTAAAATCAGCATAATTTTTATAAATATTTTACGCAAAAACGCAACCAAACTCCATCATAATCATACATGCAATAGGAACTACGAGCTTTGAAGTTATAAATCCAATAATAAAAAATGGTAGTTGGATACTCTACAGCAAATAATTTGATTTAGAAAGTATCATAAATATGAAAGCGCGTAAGCTGATTATCTCCCCTTTGTGGAACTCTCTTGTTGATGACTAACAGAAAGTTGGAGTTGCAGCAGAAGTCGGAGAAGAAAACTACCATGTAAGCAGGTTTTGTGCGGTTACAGAGGACATGACTGCATCAAGCGATTGTAGGTGACTGAAAAGTATTATTTATACGGGTAAGTCAGGGTAATTTCGACCACCGTTTAATTTCGACCACAGGAACTCAAAACCACACAAAGATCTACGGAAGTGTTGAGACAAGTTTAATTTATTCGGAATTATAGAAAACTATTCCTCAAATTGTGTGTCGTAGTATAATTATTCATCGCAAATATGGCTTGATCAGAGATATAAATAATATTTTTAACTATCATTTATGTCTCCAGTTTGACTTTCAAAGTCCGTCTTCAGTGCGCTTGATCTTGATTTGATCAAGGAAATGCAAGAGAGACAACTCGTACAACCTCTTTTTAAGTTTAACCTTGTTCAACAGTCTACAGCACGAGTTAAATTAAAATTGTTTTATTTCTTCTTGGAATATCTTTAAGTTGCAGAATTTTACAAATTTATCTTGGAGTTCTCTCAAAATGCACAAGAAACGTCCATTTGATTTTGGTCGAAATTACCCCTACTGATTTTAAGGACGCGGGGTAAATTCGACCACTTATTCTGAAATATACGTGTAAGTTGTCTTCAACAGCTGTTTAATGCAATGCAGAGTTAGACCTTAAAAAAAAATAATTATACTGTATATGTACAACATTATCTACACATAACCTTTTATATTAAAAAAAATATGTCAGATTATGTAATTAACATGTGCATGCCTAGCTATATATATTGTCCGGGCTGTTTACGAGGTTCTTGCTTGTAGGAGTGTTCACGAGGGTGCATCACTGATCGAGGTGCGAGAGAACACGGAGTCGGCACTGGCTTTGAATTAATACATGACGAGAGCAATCCTAAAGATTCCAAACCCATCAAATTAACAAAAGAGAGGGTGCAGACAATATTAAATATATGTCAAAAAAAAATCAGGTTTTTGTAAATTTTTTCATTATTACGAATGCGTAAACTTTGAAGAATAAGACTGAGGCTATCGAAAACCAACGACCCAGTCGTATTAAGATCGTATCACACAGTCCAGGTAAAAAAATCCAAATAGTACCCAAAATATCAGAACAACACACCAAAAGAGCCGCAACAATCTTGAAACAAAAAAAAACCACTATGATGTTACACGAAATACTGAAATGATTTTTTTGAGCTTAGGTTTTTTTTTTTGGGGGGGGGGGGGGGGGTCAGAGGACTTTGCTTCTGTAAATCTTTATTTAATTGACTTATCGAATTTCTCGGGAACTATCTTTCAAGAATTAACAAAACACGTAAAATACGTATATTACATGTAACAACGCATTCCAAATGAATGTGTATATGGTAAAAATTAGTGAAGAAAAATATACACAATTCTAATGCTATGCTCAAACCTTATACATAGATATACAATCTGAATGATTCTGTTGTGAAAAGACGATATTAAATAAAATTCTTTTTGGGTTGGAGAATTTAAAAATCATAACAAAGAAATTATTTGTGGGATCTGAGAAAATTTTATCTATTTGCATAACTATATATCACAATTTTAAATTATAGAGTTGGCGAATTAAAAGCAGAATTTAGAATAAAGAATAAGAATTTTGAAAGATGTCTATAAGACAGCATTGAAAAGCTTATGTAACCCAACCCATATCTTTACTGTATGGATATTAGTACTTATCCATTTTACTCTGTTTATTGAGAGAGATAGAGATAGATATACGTATTTTCTAAATAAGCAATATGGTTTCTCGGACCATAAATTTTGAATAAAATGCGACAGGTAAAGTTTACTTGCATTGCAAGAGTTATCTTTCTTTTTGATGTTTGTTGTGGTCGAAATTACCCCGAGGCCGGTCGAAATTAACCCATGCGACATGCTTACTTATTTTTAAACCAATTCATTATTTTTTATGCATTTTTAACTCCTAAAGCAGAAAAATCTGAAGAAAAAAATCAATCTCACTTACTTTGAATCTTTTTTAACTAGTACATTTGAAAACACTCGTGTTTTGTGGATTGAAAGCCACAAATCAGCAAAAGTGGTCGAAATTACCCTACTCTACCCTAGTCCGAAATATCTGACGTTTTCCTGGCTTTCTTACTATTTTTATATTTTACGTGCAAGGACAACGTCAGAACCGGCGCCTTTACGAATACTGGGAATTCCCCGCCTCCAACCAGAGGCGGCATTCTCGGGTTGATTTTCGATGAAATGTCAAACTCACAATTTATCAATAGTACAATGCTTCTAGTACTCACCAACATCGTTTTTATGGTTTGTTTATAAAATATATAATCCTATGGAAACATTTTATCTGACTGTCGAGATTTGTTTTCATTTCGCGCATTTACACATTTTTAAATTTTTTTTTTCAAGTCCTGTATCGAAATGATGAGTGATGTTTTCTTTTCATCGATATTGTCGAGTACTAGAAGCATTGTGCCATTGATAAATTGTGACAACGGTATTTAATTCGGTTCCCAGGTATGGAAAATCAACTCTGACTGGAGACGGCGAAATTTCCAGTTTTTGTAATTGCGCTGGTTCTGACGTTTTCCTGGCACATAAAATATCAAAAAGCCTGGAAAACGCCAGATATTTCGGATATATTATTTAGAGCATATTGATTAATTACTGATAAGGTCAAATTGGTAGATTTCCACTCCTGTATGTCTGTATCTTACTGTTCTTTTGACAAGTAATATTTCAAACAATATTTCATAAAATTCATAGTCATACCCGGTATACCTCATTACCTGTACAGTATAGCATTCATTTGCATTCGACAACAGCAGTCTGTTAAACCAGATCCAGTACACCAAAATATAATGTTAAGATATCAGCACCACAACAAGTTGACAAAACTTTAGGTGGCTAATATTGATTTGAAAAGGGGGAGGGCAACTAGGATAACAGACTCAACTCTGGTTTCAAAATTTGCTCCTGACCCTAAAAGTGGGAGGGGAGGAGAACCAGGATTTATAAGTATTTACTATAGGAAATTTTGACTTCCCAAAAACATGGGGGGAGGGGGGTGCTATTCCTCCTACGCCCTTGATCAGGTTGGGCACAATTGCTGAATACGAGACTATTCCACAAATGTGAGACTGTGTCTGTTTTGCAAGATGAATTTCAGCCATATTTGTCTGTTTTTCAAGTACTAAAAAAATAAATTTCCTAATTTTGATCTCAAAGTTAAAAGGGTTCATGTTTATGATATAATATTTACATTTGCAAATGTTTTCTTTTGTATAACACTATTAAGAGCAACGCGTATCTATATCCCTATAAACACGGTTCCTCGCATCATAAACATTCGACGTAATTTCTCAGTGACATCATAAAAGGTCGACGCACAATCAATGGATCAAATACGTGCCGTTGAGTTTGAAAAATAAAATATTTCAGGCATTAAATATTGTAATCAGGAAAATATAAAATATGAATAAGTCATAAATGTAAATATAAGTAATAATGTGACCAACCTGTATTTATATCCCGATAGATGTTTAAAAGTGATACATTATTTCTTAACTAAACAATGTTTACAGTTTACACAAGAGGAACATTTGTAAATTTGCCGTTTTCGAGATTATAGCTGCAGAACATGTGCAGCTATAATCGCGAAAACTGTACATGAAATGCATGAATGCTTTTTGTAAACATTTTTCAGTATGTCCTAAAGATGAGCCTTTATAACTTAGAGAACAAAATTCGGACATTTAATTTTTTATTATAAAGCAGACAAATTTTGTTGAAATTCATCTTGCAAAACAGTGACAGCCTCGCACTTGGGATACTCTCGCATTTGTGGTGTTGTGCCCAACCTGTTGATTGGTTTCAAACAGTACAAGTAGATAGACTGTGCCGAGATCTATTAAATGGCATGTTCACTTCTGACCTTGACCTAGATATTTGGCCTTGAACTTCTGAATTTTACATTTAGCTCTTTTGTGAGAAAACCATAAGGTAAATTAGTTTCAATTATCACATGTAAATAGACCGTGATGAAATCTACTGAATGGCATGTTCAAATCTGACGTAAACCTTGGTATTTGATCTTTACCTTGAAATTCTGAATTACATGTTTAGGTAATTCTTCACTTCAACTAAAGCTTCACCATGGGCTATATCATCTTTAGTGGTTTTTTGTCACACATTCATCGTGGGTGAGAAGAGGAAGACATCGGTACATTTTGAGGTAAAAGATCAAGCCTCAAATCACAATTAGACCTTGTCAAAAATCACATTCCACAAAAACTATACTTTGTTCTATCAGAAATTTTCCAATAGAGCCCTTCATGACTTTTAATTTTAGTGTTTTAGTTCACCGAATTTTCTTAAAAAAATTTTCAGAGGATTTTCAATTCAAATTTTGTAAAATAGTTGATCTTCATCATAGTTGTGTATTGTTTTCTA